GCCTCAAATAATAAGATGGAGAGTGATAGAGGAAAACTCCATATGCACACACATACACATATGTGCCTGTGCACCCATACGACCATGCGTGCCCACATGTATTTAAGCATGCATGCACCCATGCACACACTAAAAAAAGCTATTATTCCTACCTCATGACAATTATGATATCTGTTATCAGATATCCAATAGCAGTTGACATCTGTAATACAGTAATACAGTGTTTTAAAATGTTAATTATTTCTGATGGTTGCTTAATTACTTAACTTTGTAATTATATGCTCACTCATATCCTTTTATTAGTCCCAATCCTCTCATCTCACTGATGACCTTGTCTCCCATGTCACTGAAACACTGAGGCTGTCGGGCATGTCCCTGACTCTCCCAACCTTCCCTACATATTTACATCTCACCCATTCTGGTTCCTTTCCTTCCATCTGGAGAAGCTCAGCACTTCCCTCCAGTTCATGGTCCTCCCCTTCTCTTTGACCCCATACTCCTACAACCGCCTTTCCCCTGCTCTTGGTCCTGGTCTAGGATCTGATTTAAGTGGTTGAAGCCAAGTGAGCCCAGCCAGGCCATTGTTGTATCAGGCCCCAACATCGAGTCCCTACTGTGTGCTTCTGAACAGCCCCCAAGTGATAGGAGCTGACCATCCCCCTGGCACAAGAAACTGGAAATCACAGGGGTTCAGGGGGTGCAGAGGGGTGACTGCCTGTCATGTGCAGACAGCGCTCTTGGTATCAGGTGGCTGGTGGTGATCAGGCACAGCCCTGCCTTAAGCCACCAGTCCAGTGGATAAGTGATGCCTCTTCACCTCCCGCCTTGCCCCAGCTTTGCAGATGACAGACGGGCTGTTTTCTAGCCCCAGCTCTAAGCCATAACAGACGACCACAGGCCAGTTGACAGCCCATCCCAACCTGCATTGGCTAGCCTCTGAAAGCCAAATGGCCAGTAACAGTCCTACTTCAACAACCTCACGGACACATCAGGATCATGCTGCCAGACCAAACACGTCCTCTTCCTGAGAATCTTAGTCTGGTCCCTGTGCTTCTCCAAGCCACACAAATCCCAGCCTCAGCTTGACTTGTAACTCTGAAAGCAAGGCAGTGAACATTACTTCTCATTGCACACTTAAGCAATGGAGTATTCTTTGACACCTGTGACAGAGGCCAGGACTGGCTTAGCAGAGGAAGAGAAGAAGGGAGGAGGACTTTTCAATAGAGGTGCTGGGGCAGGGGTCATGCATAAGAACTGACAAGGCAAAGAGCAGGAACATGGCATCTAGGTTGAGTGAGTGTGTGCCAGTGACCACATTTCCAGACCCAGAGTTACACCTGGGCATCTCATTAGAACCCCCTAGAAATCGCAAAGCTGCCATGACCAGTCCCACTGTAGAGATGAAGAAGATGAGATTCGGGGTAGTTGGGAGCTTGCCCAGAACCAGCCAGTGCTTTTAAACCTGGCCTTGACCCCGGGTACCAAAGCAGCAACTGTGAAGAAACTGCTGAGCCTCTGCTCTGCACAGAGACACAGGTCAAAGATAAAGGATGCACAGCCCTCTGCCCAACCAGTGGCAAGGCACCAGGCGATGTGCCTGTGGCGATCTGAGGAGCAATGATCAAAGCCGCTTGCTGCTCCCCCCGCCAGGCCTGACACAGCCCGTGACAACGCTCCGTCTGCACAGCCGAGGCTGAGCTCAGTAGACAGTGACAAGAGTGTGGCAGCTGTGATCTGGGCTCTGCTGAGAGCGTGGTTTCACACGGAAGTCTCAGGAGACACACGGGGAGAAAGACCTTTGCAGACAGACGAGCATCAGAATTGGCCTAACTAAGGGAACCCTGAGGCTTGAGCAAATCCAGGCCCACCACCACATGGAGAAGCGCAATGACAGTTTATCCAGGCACAGCTGCCAGGCTGCCGGAGTTCACATGCTGGGCAGGCTGCATTCTCCACCCACATGTGATGTTTGCTTCTAACTGATGACTGTGTCTCGTGTTCCTCATCGGAAAAATGGGTAAGACGACCACTGGGATTAAACAAGGAAAATCATGAAAAGTGTTTGGTACCTTGTCTTGCAGTTCAGAGAGAGCTATTGGCTACCTCTAGCTAAACAGCATGGTTGAACTCTGTAGAGGGGCCTCCCACCAAGTTCTGAGGTCTTAAGCATGTCTGCCTACAAGCATACAACCTGACATAAAACCTATAAGAAAGTCTGGCTACGAGGTGATTTTTTTTTTCCCTCCATGATAACTTGTTATATTTTGCTTCTTAAATACAATCATTGATTCCCCTCCAATGATATTTGCTTCCTGATGGGTGTCCCTGTTCTGGGGGCACAGTGCTGGGTGTTTGTTCTTATGGTATCCACCCTGGAAATCCAATACTCTGTCTGAGGCCCAGAGAGGTCAGAGGTTTTGCTTAACATCATACAGCCATGATACCCAGGCTGAGTCTGAAGTCTAGGCTGTGCAGGACCCCCAAAAGCTCACCTCTTTCAGTGGTGTGGCCCCTGGTAAGTTGCCACATTCCTGTAAGTGACCCTAATTAAACTGATCAGTTCACCAGAAAGGAAAAAAGGCATGGAAGTAGAGGAGAAAGAGGAGGGGGTTTGCAGGTGTGAAAGGAGGCTATGAAAGAGTAATGGGGAGCAAACATGTATGCTTATGAAAATGTCATATTGTAACTCATTATTATGTATCATTAATATATGCTAATAAAAAAACTAAAAAAAAAAAAGTCACACTGGTTTCCCACCTCGACTTCATGCAAGCTATGTGGACCAAAGCAGGTGGACTTCATCACCCTCCGCCTAGAGTTTTCTTAATTTAAAAAGAGAGGCAAAGTCTTGACCATAGCTTGGGAACAACAGTCTGGGAATGGCCTCGTGGGCAAGTCCACAGCTCTGGGCCACTGGAGGACCCTTCTTCCCACTGCCCACAGAAGTTGGTAACATTTGTTTTAGTCAAGAAAAATCATCAAGAGGTAGCGTGATGTCTACGGTCACCATGGTAATTTCAGATGAGTGCTGCCAGGCGACAGTCTCCTCTGGAAGGTGGACCCCACCTCCACCTCATAGATGGGGACACCTGGCCCTCCTACCTGGCACTGTTCACCTCATCCTAGAAATGTGGTTTGTCCATACCAACATGTTGGAGTACTAAATGTACACTGGATCTCAAAGACATAAGGAGAGAAAGAATATCCAATACTTTGTCAATATTGTTATATTGATTACATATAGAAATGATCCTTTAGCTGGCCTGAGTCAACCAGAACATACCATTAAAGTTAACTTTGCCCATCTCTTTTTACTTCCTTTGTATGTGGCTATGAAGATACTCAAAATCATACTCTGTGGTTTGTTTTATATCTGATTTGTTTCTGTTTTCCTAGCATTGGGAATGGAACCCAGGGCCTCCCAATACTGCCCAGATGCTTTGCCACTTAGTTACAACCCAGTTCACTTGTATTCATTTTCTACTTGACCACGCCCATCCACCATCTGCCCCAGACCCAGAGTTAGGACAGAGGAGACTTAGCATCAGTAGTAACCGAATCCAATTCTCTGTGCCAAATATGGGGAAACTGAGGCTCACGGAGAGAGACCTGTAGAAGGCAAGAGGCTGACAAAGTGTCACTCATTCATTCAACAAACATGAAGTGAAGCTTATGATGTGCTCTGAGTTCTAGGATACAGTACGAAACAAAGTCAAGGACCACGCTGCAATCCCGGGCTCTGCCTTGCTGCCATTTTAAAGGATGGGGTGATTTTGCCTGTAGAGTCTTGCCTGGCCAGGTCATCCTGGGGCCAGTACTGTAGACTCAGCAGAGGCTCCCACCTCCCACAGTTGGCTCAGTTCCAGATCTCTCAGCCTGCAGGTGGGTGCTCTAAATCTAACCCAGGGAAGCCCCCTCCTTCAAAGCCACTGGTGGGTCCCACCACAGCACCTTATTCAGCTGCAGCTGCCCAACGGGTATAGCATGGTGGCCTGGTGCCGCCTCTGGTAACTCACATATCGAGTACATTACCGCAGATTTATGGCAAAAATTATCCTCTCTCTCAGCTCCATTTAAAGCCATTTGGAGCTCGCTCCCGTCCCCGATTATAAATCTAATTGCACATTCCAAACAGACAAGCGCTCATTAAGCTTTAATTATGCACATGTTGTTTTCAACAAACATTTTCATTTGGCCGCTGTGAGGGGAACGGTGCCAAGGGGGCTGTAGGCCTGGCTGTGGCTGCAGGGGGCCAAGGTTGGGAAGTAGGTCAGGGTGTGGCCAGATGAGGTCGCCCAAGGGGCAGGGCCGGGAACCCATCAAATTGGGCTCGTGGCTTGGTGGCCTTCCACCTGGTTCCTCCATGGGAATCCTAACATATGTGTGCTCAGCTGCTGCCAGCTGTATCCATATCATCCAGGCAATGCCCGTGAGCCTCTCTGAGGATGGGGAGAGGGGAAGCCAGGGGCTCCCAACCCCCACCGTGCAGCTGGTACCCTTGTTCTTCGGCACCATCCCTACCCTTCACTCCAGACCCCCAGATGACTGCTCACACCACTTTCAGGCAAATCCCACCTTCCACTGAGGAAGACTCCAAGTTTTTCTTGTTTCTTGGTTTCTAGACAAGGTCTTATGATACAGCCCATCCTGGCCTTGAACTCACAGCAATCCTTCTGCCTCAACATTCCAAGTGCTGGGACTATAGGCATGCACCACCCACCGCCATGTCCACTAAGAAGCAACATCCTTGAAGTCATACTCAAAGCACTTGACAATCTGCCCTGACGAGACCAACCATCTAGCCTGGGCTCACACTATGAACAAACACTTCCATAGCTCTCTTCTGCTATAGGGCTGCTCAGGCTCCAGCATGCACCCAGCTCTCTGCATACTGGGACTGTATCTCTGCAGTAGCTCCCTTCTCATCCCTTTCCACACAGCTGGTCCCTAGGCAACTTCTATGATGTCACCTTCAGAAGCCACGCCTAGGCCAGACTGGCTGCCCCCCACCAACTCCCCACATGCTGGGGACATTTACAAGGCAAGCTTTTCTTCCTCCAAGGAAGAAAAGGAGTCACCAGCTCAGCGAGTGGCTGCAGACAAGTCTTCTGCTCTCTTGTTGTCTTTATCTGTGTCTGGAAAGGCTCACTGGGGAGAGCTGCAGGGAAACCAGTGAGAAGGACGAAGAGTGGGGCACGTGCAGCCTGTCCCAAGGGCACTCTGGAGCCAAGATGGCCCTCAGGAAAGGTCCCAGATCAGAGCAGGGAGCCAAATGCTGTGTTCACAAATGGGCGAGCCATCAGATCTAGGCTTCCTTCTTCACCCGAGCCCTCACCGGGGTGATGCTGGACTGTGAGGCACCAGGAGCAGGTAGGAAGAGTGTCTGAGGCCTGGAGGACTGGACGGATCACACCCTCACGTTAAGCAACTTGCACAACAACGACATAGAGCTTGCTGCATTGAGGCGCTCACATTAACTCATTGGATCCTCTGAAACCCATACGGTAAGTTACCATGATCCAGGCTGCTGTTCCACAGGGGAGGAACTGAGGTCCATTGAGGTGAAGCAGCTTGCCCAAGACCACACAGCTAAAAAACAGGAGATACATGGTTTGAACTGGGAGCCCATGCGCCAACGACCAGGCTAAGCCCTTCCGCGCTCTTGCCTGTCCTTCCCTGGAGACAGGCTGTGGTTAGCAGCCTACAGCCCTCGGCTGCCAAGAACTGCCAATATTTGTGCCTGACAATGATCTATCTTCTGTGCGGTTGGGAACAAGTCCCAGAACAGACTCTTGCCAGAGACAATTAACTAAAAGCCGCAAGAGCCCTGTGTAGGGTGGGACACTGTGGGGACGGGGGATGGGGGGATGGGGGAATGGAGAGGGGGCTGAGACAATGAGCGGCAGATGATCTGGAAGATATTTTCTACCCAGTGCTGCAAAACAAGCCCCTCAATCATGCCACAAAGGGCTGGCATTGTCGGATGGGAAATATGTCAATGACAGTGCTCAGTGTTGGATTGTGGGGTGGCTTTGAAAGAAGAGAGAGGGAGAGAGAGAGTCCTTTGAAATCGTAATTTGACCTAGAAAGGCTTTTCTAGGTCACCTGAACCTGCCACTTGTGCATCTAACCCCAAAGCCAACAAAGACAGGATGCCAGGCTTACTCCCCTCCACCCAGCACCCACAGAGAGCATGTTTGTAAACATTGCTGGTGGATATTTAAGCGCTGTGTTACAATCTGTCTTTGGACTGCCAGTGGGTGGGGAGGGTACTGGCTGCATCTCTTGAAGCCTGCAGACCTGGGTTCAAGTCCCGGCTCTGCCCTTGGCTGCTGTGCAGATATAAGCAGGGATCTGGGCTCTCTCAACCTCAGATTCCTGCTCTGCCAAAATAGGGATGGAAGCAGGTACGGCAGCATGCAGCTGCAGTCCTGGCACTGGGAAGCCTGAGGCAAGAGGATGCTGAGTTCAAGGGCAGCCAGGGCTACGTAGTGAGATCCAGCCACAAACAAACCAATGGAAACAAAATGGGGGAGGGGGAAATATACCTGGCAATGAGCAGCTTAATACAAAGCCCTAAAGAGGCTAGTTTCCTCCTTTTGTGCAGGCAACTTTTCAGACTGAGGGACACCCCTCTGTTCTTGCCCACTGAACCCTTATGCCCCAGATCTCAGCTCTCTCCTGGAGCCCACAGAAGCAGTGGGGGTAGGGGCTGTCTTAACAGGGGTTTTCTCCCTCAGAAAACAGAGATGTAAACTGTCCTCTATAGCACAGCTTATACCTGGGAGTTACTCTAATCTCTTTCCACAGCTGTGCCAACCTGCTTAGGAGAAATCACAAGGTGTCCAGGCTAGTCACACTCCAAGCTTCTCTGCATTCCACTAGGGAAACCAAGGACAAGGTGGTAGATGGTCCCTCAGCTACTGGCAATATCATATCAGGAATTGCCACCATCACGATGTTGAATCCCCTGAGCCCGTGTGTGCCTCCAGAATGTTCTAGATATGGCCCAGTTACTATCAGAGCTCAAAGGCCTTTCCCAAGCCTTGACTTGACCACTTGTGACATTGTAAGCCAGGTGCCACTCTAAGGCGGGACCTGAAATACAGAACAGATCTCCAGGGAAGCCCAGGGCTCACAGGACATCCTGACCTTCAGAAACAAGGAGGCATTATGAAGGCAATTGGCCACACAAATGCAAGCGACATACACCTGTTACACAGAGAGACAGAGTGAGCCAAAGGCAGATCACTTGGGGGTGGGGTGAGAAACTTGGTGTGTGTGTGTGTGTGTGTGTGTGTGTCTGTGTGTGTGTGTGTCTGTGTGTTAGGGGATGATAACTGTCTCCAAGTCACCGAGGTTGTTTCCAGTGCAGAATGGCAGAGATGGGATGAACAAACACCAAAGAAAAGCTTGAGGAAAACTTCCAACAATGTTCACTGAGCAGTGACAGGGAGCTTGTTTTGGTGAGAGGACGAGGCACTGTGCAGAGCAGCTGGCAAAGCAAGGTGGCCGTGACCCAAAATGAGAACATGCGTGGATCCAATGCCATTTTCTGACCTCTTCAGACACCAGCACACATGCGATGCACATATGTTCATATAGGCAAAACACCCATACACATAAAATAAAATAAATCTTGAAAGATTGAAAAGAGAACACATTGGAGGCGGGCGTGGTAAGGGTGAATGTTAATGGTGGGACCTTTCTTAATTGCTTTCTACCTTGACTGTGAGACAGAGACTCTCACTGAAGCCATGTCTTAGCTAGGTAGCCAGCAAGTCCCAGGGGCCATGTCCCAGTCTCCTCAGTGCTGGGGTTATAGGTGTGTACCAACACATCTAATTTTTTTTAACATGGGTGATAGGGATCTGAACTCAGGTCCTTATGATTTCAGGGCAAGCACTTAATCACTTTGTCAAATGAGCCATTTCCCAGCCCCAAAATGAGGACTTTGGAACAATAAAACAGGAGAGCAAATTTGGAAAGTTAGCCCCAATCGGGTGAGGGGACACCAAACCCTCCGCACCAGGATCCATGGGACAGCCTTTGCACAACAATATCATTTGACCTTTGCGACAGCTTTAGGAGGGAGATGGCAACATCACATTCTACAGAGAAGACAAGTGGAATGCCATCTGCAGCCTGCAGGGTCATACAACTGGACAGTGGCAAAGCCAACTCATATCTCTGCCAAAAGTCACGCTCATAACAACTACGTTATTTAGTCTTTCCTTTTGGAAACAAAGAGATCAAGACCAATTATTTAATAAACACAAGACAACAGACTCGTCCTGTTTGGGAACGTTGAAGTAGATAACCACAGCAAGTCCCCAGCCTCAAGCACTGCAGAAGGGGTAAGAGTTAAGTACACGAAGCCACGCTGGAGGGAAACAATCAGAGGAGAGAACACAGTGTTTATCAGATCCGCAGAGGCGCGGCGACTTCCTCAGCCCTTGAAGCAATCATGGAGGAAGAGATTGACAGGTTCAAATATACACACATTAATATCTTCTGTGGAAGGAAACGTAATAAAACTGAAATGAAAAGGACATCAGACTAAGAAAATATCAGCACCAACGTCGAGACAGTTAATATATACGATGTAGAAATGGCTCCGTCAACTTCGACAGAAAGCAAGATGCTGTGAGACAAAAAGACATGAGATTTAAACAGGAAAGTCCCTGAGAGGCAACATTCCAAGAAATAAATGCAGGGGGGAATGTATGCTTGATTCCACGGCAATGGAGAAGCGCACATGACCCAAACGAGCCATTGTGGAACTAGCATATTTTACACTACACACAAATATCTTTCGGTGACGAAGGAGAGCACCCAAGTCCCTGCCTCAAGGACACCCAGTATCTGTGAGGTACAGGGCAATCTTTGTCCTCCCGAAGCTTATGGTCCAATGATGGGGGCAGGAGCGGGAGTTCAAATCAGGGTGAGTGGCAGACCCCCTGGAGCCTTGACAGGGGCCATGCAGAAAGACTGGAGAGGAGGTAGCTGTAAGCAGAATGAGCAGGTGAGGGGGGTGAGGGCATAAGGCGAGAGAGAGAGAGAGAGAGAGAGAGAGAGAGAGAGAGAGAGAGATTGGGAGATGATGGGGGATAAGCTGTCCCCAGGTCTGGGAGCTGGAAAGAAGGAAGGGCCCATTCAGGATCGGAGAGCAGCAGCAGGATTTCAGGAGAGACATGGAGACAGAAAAGCTGGGAGAGAAGGGCAGCAGGGTTACAGCTGGGGGATGGACATAGAGGGCCAGGATTTGAACCGTGGTTCAAACCTCAGCTGTGAATGGTCTGGGGTGAGGGGAGATGAGCCTGTCTATGAAAGAGCTGAAGAAGTGGCTGTGGTCCTGGGGTGGGGCCAGGAGAAGATTCTGCGCCTGGTTTGCACACAGAAGAAACCTTGGATAAGGCATCGGTAAGCAGAGGCTGGGGAGATGGCCGAGCTGCTCAGTAACGTGCTTACAAGCATAAGGACCTGAGTTTGATCCCCAGAACCCACATAAAAAGCTGGGCATGGCAGCACATGCCTGTAAACCCAGTTCTGGGGAAGTGAATACAGGCAGATCTCTAGAGGTCCCTGGCCAGCTTTTCCAAACTGGTAAATGCCAGTTCAGTGAAAGACCCTGACTCAAAAGATAAGATGGGGAGCATTTGAAGAGGACACCTGAAGTCTGGGCCACTGACTGACCATACACACACACACACACACACACACACACACACACACACACACACACACACACACAGCAGCAGCAGCAGCAGCAGCAGCAGCAGCAGCAGCAGCAAATGAAACAGTAGAACCCTGACTCTGAAGGAGAAGCACACAGTGATGGTTAGAACAGGAAGTCTGTAGCCAGAATAAAATCACCACGACCCCAGTATTTCACAGAGCTAAGAGGCTCAGGGGTGAATGAATCAGGGCAAAGGCCCACTCAGGAGACAGAAAGGGGGTGACTCATGCTGGTGGCAAACCCTAATTTCCTTTCCTTGGTCACACACTTCCTTTTCATTTCTTTTTCTGACAATTCAAAAGAAAAGGATATTTTCCTTTTCAATTCATAGCCACATGCTCTTCCTGCCCTAGGTTTTAACCTCTGCCCTGAACCAGCAGAACCCGACTTAGCCCCAAGTGACGAGAGGATGTGGGCCACTGGGAAGCTGAGAAAAAGGTGAGGCCCCAGGCCCTGCAGGGCTGGAGAGGAGCAGGACCCAGGGCCCTGTGCCAGCCAGAACTCATGCCATTCCAGAATTCAGAATTTGCTTGGTTGGCTTCCAGAAGAGCTATGGCAAGAGGGTGACACACGCAGCCAAATGCATTTGCATTCACAAATCGGGAGGTGAGTATTTACACAGGCAAGTTGATATCACGTTCGCAGAGCCACGAAGCAGCCAGGCTGGGGTTGAGGGCCAAAGGAGCTGGCAGCATGTTTACAAAATAAGGTCTGAGCACAGAGGCTCGTTGCTCTCTCTGCCCATCTGAGGTTTCCCATAAAGGAGTTTTGAGCTGAACCAAGTACCATTATATTTGCATTTGTCCCTTGCTGCTCCCAGCCCCTTGTAGGGGACCATCCGCCCGATGTTCATGCTCACTGTATGAACAGTGATACAGAGGACCGAGATACAGAAAAACCTGTTCACAGTCTCTAAGTGACTGACCTGGGCTCTGACCGTGACCTGGCTGCCATCTTTCCCCATACCCTCACGTATTCCCCCAAGAGGCTGAAATGCCAGGCAGAGCAGGGGACATAGCACACTATGAGGGCACAGGGGTGGGTCTGTTCCGTCAGAGCAGATGGAGGCTTCTGGGCATTGGGTTTTGCTAGTACTTTCATAGCTGCCCAGACAAATCACGATAAACTGAGTAGTGCAAACCCACACAGACTGGCTGGGGCTCAGAGGTGGAGTACTCGCCTGGCATGCACAAGGCCTGAGCTCTATCCCCAGCCAAACCACAAACGGACCAAAGCAAAACAAAGTAAGTGACAACATACAAATTATTCTCTCATAGTTCGGGATGCCAAAAGTCCCAAGCTCGTCTCTTAGGGCTTCAGACCAGGGCAGGGCAGGCGGCTCCAGAGGGTCCAGGGGAAAACACATTTCTTGTACCCTCAGCTTTTGATGTCCCCTGGCCTGTGACCCCTTTCTTCGCCTTCAAAGCACATTGGCTCACCTAGCATCACCTCCTGTCTCAGACTCTGCTGCATCCCTCTTAGGAGCTACCTAAAATGACTGTGGGCCACCAGGAAAGCCAGGACAATCCCCTCAACTGAAGATCATTATCTTTGTTATATCTGCAAAGACCACTTTGCCAAAGGGTGACAGGTTTCGGAGATTAGGACATGGATGTAGCAAGGGTGTACGTTTTCAGGCAGCAGCACTGGTTAAGTTCCTTCGGGCTGTGGGTTAACTGTGCCTCTGCCCGGAGACAGCCAGGCAGGATGTGCCCACCATGACAGATTTTCCCATGGTGCTTCAGTGTCTTTCTTTCCGCTCCCTTCAGCATGGGGACCCTGGGTTTAGGTTCCCCTCATGATGGTGCTGGTTTAGACCAATGGGCTAGAAGCATAAACAAATGGTCTCTTCTTGTGGAAGTGCGGAACAGCAAACATGGGAACTCCAGGCTGGCTCTGCAGGAGCCTCGGGACTCTCAAGGGAGATGAGACTAACCTCCACTCTGAGTGACTGCGGAGCAGAAACCCAAGACCTACTTCTCTGCTGATGGTCATGGAACGAGTGGGAGGCACAAAAATACACCATACTACTCATCGAGACAAAGGAGTGGGTGTGATAAAAGAGGAAATGGGGGTGAATAAAACACTAAAAAAAATCAATAAATTATCCTTGTGATAAATGACTAAGGTTTGGGGGCTCTTTGTTTCTGAGGCATAACCCAGCCTAACATGGTTTAACAAACCGCCTCTTACTGACCATCTACTACAAGGCAAGGACTTCACAGAGCTGAGACATAATCCTGCAAATTAATCAAGATCAGAATCATTGTTCACTGAACAGACAAGGAAACTGACATGCAGAGGTAGAGGTGGCGGCCACACAGCTGAGAAGTGGGAGAGCTGGGATTCAAACCAGAGCAGCGTGGTCCCAAAGCCAAACCCACTGGGCCAGGCACAGTGTCACTCCTGTGATCCCAGCACATGGAGTGCTGAGGCAGGAGAATGGAGAGTTTGAAGTCAACCTGGACTACACAGCAAGACCCTCTCTCAAAAGCAAATGGACAAAGCCAAACTCATAGCAACTCTAAGGGTCACAACTCTTGCAAGGTACCATGTGGGATTCCAGAACCCTCTCCAGACCCAGACATCTGTCGCTTCAGGGTCCTGATGCCAGAGTCCCCAAAGACAATGAGTCCAGCTCTCAGTCCTAGAGCCCCTGACAACACACCAGACCCAGCTTGGGCCTCTTCCAATGGTTCTTCATACCCATGTGTGTCCACGAACTGAAAGAATATGTGTTGAGAATCTGCTTTGTGCCAGGCAGGCCCTGTTATGAGCATCCAGGGATTAGCAGTGAACAAAGGCCACTGGGGCTTACTGTCCTGGGCTGGAGAAACCATCAATCATCCTCAGAAATGACAAGTGGCTCACACAGCACATTGGAAGGCTGTACACACGGAAGGAAGGCGGCGAGCAGGTGAGGGGATCAGGAGGGAATTCCGTTTAAGCCAGTCAAACTGGACTTTTAGGACGAAGTTACAGAAAGATGAACAGTGGTTGGAGGGGTTGGGGGGGAGCCAAGATGGTACCAGCTTGGGGTGTCCACGCTGCTCAGCAGCCAGTACAAGGCCTTCACATGGGAGTGGGCAAGTGTCGCTTTGGTCAGCGAAGGGATGTCAAGGTGGGCAGAGAAGGCAGGGCAAGGGGGTAGAGGCCAGAAAGATGACGGGAGGCAAAGCACGCCCACGGATGGCACTGCGCTTACCCTCCCCAGAGAGGAAGCCAACAGCTGTCCGCAGGCTTATCTGATGCTGTGGTTGAAGGAGCAGGCAAGGGCAGGCGTGAGGGCTGCTTCGCTAGCACATCTGAGGAACCTCATCCCCTCGAGGCAGCTGGCATCCGCCTGGCCTGCGGCTTCCTCTGTGGCTTCCGCATCGCAGGGTGCCCTGGTGGCTGCTATTTTTGCCCCTGTTTAGGGTCCTATGCTTCTGTGTGGGACACTGGGGGCCAATGTGCCTGACCCCTCTTCAAGTTTCCTCTGCTTGGAGCAAACGGAAGGAGTCGTTGGAACGTCCCAAGTGTCCTGGGGGAATAATTAGGCCCAGCAAGCAGAAGAGAGGTGACATCTTGTTGATCCTCATGACACTGTAAGCTCAGAGAGGTGAGGCCACACAGCCACATCAACCACAGACTGGGGATTCTCAAGGGGTCTGTCTATGGGGCCTTCTTTGCATGCCCTGCCTATGTGAGTGCATCCTAAGCAAAAACGTCCAGCAGGTAGGAAAATAAAGGTGCATCAGCCATGGGTGAGGTCCTCCAGAGCCCCACAGTGACCCTTGGGGGACCACAGCATGCACAGAGGGACAATCAGAGAGGGCTGTGGCAAAGCCTTGATGTCCTGGTCCGCTCTGCAGATTAGCGGGAGTTGGAGGTCTAAAGGAAACCTACCATGGACACAGGGACCTGAAGATTTAAGAAGTAGGAGGCAGGGCAGCCTGGCTGGGGAAGGAGTTTCAGGGAACGCCAGGCAGGATCCTGGAGGAAGCAGAAACCCGTGAGTGTGGAAGCAGATGAGCCCCAGGCAGGCAGGTGAGGTTTTGAGGCAGACACCGTGGTGTGGAGGGGCAGCCGGCAGCTGCCAAGCGTCCGTGGGAGGGACGGACACATTAGGCAGTTCACTGAGCTGGCTGCAGGGAGGGCAGATTCTAATGGGAAAGTTCAGGACAGGAGGCTCCTGAAGCCACCCAGGTAGCAGATGATGGAGCTTTGAAGGGACAGCCAGCAACATGGACAGGTGGGCCGCAGCAGGGCAGAGAAGGGGTCACTGCGATGGGTGAGATGGAGGGCATAGTGGGGGTGAATCAAGAGAGGGCTGCCCCTAGCCTCGTCTCCTCCAGGACGAGCCCTATCGGGTGCTGGTTCACAGTCCATGCTCACACCCTTCATGAGCGGCCTCAGAGCCTCAGGGGCTCCTCAGAGGAAAGGGAGTGGCATGGATCTCCTAGCTAGAAAAATGAAAGCCTTCACCCCCTAATTGCTACTCTGGTGATGAATTCAAAAGATACTACTCTCCACAGGTGGGACTCTGGTGTGGTGGCCTCCCTGGAAAATGCCTCCCAGAGCCTAAGAGAGGCAGGAATCCATCCACCTGTGATTTTTTTTTCAGGCCCCTGTGGGGGTCACAGAGGCAGCCACAGCTGGACCTGAGCTGCCTCCTCCAATGGCACCCCACCTCAGTACCTGATCTCAGGAATGATAGGTCGGTCCCTGAAGAAGGCAGCTGAGAAGGGCATTGGCGACCCTATGGGTCTCAGACAGGAAGTTAATCTCTAGCAGGAAGTCCACCCTAATGATACCCCTCACACCAGCGACTGCCAGTGTGGCAAACAGGGGCAGTTGGTGGGACCAGCGGGAATTATTTCTCTGAGGAGCTCACCTGGGGATGACATAAAGGCTGGAGTCCACGCTCCGGCCACCTTCCTTCTTCATGTAAGCCTTCAGTGGGAGCCTACCTCATGCCAGCCTGCAGCAGACACTGAGCTGATGCCCATGCAAAGCTCCCTGGGTCCCTTCCCTAGGAAGGGGTGGCATTTTTATTCATAAAGCACAACACGAGGCTCTGCATCTCTTGTCCCTTGTCATCCTCTTAACCTGACATTCTGTAGGATCAGAGAGGTAAAGTGACCTGCCTGAGGTCACACAGTGAACCCATAGAAAGGAGACCTGTTCCAAGCCAGGTCCTAGATCTTTGCTCAGTTTCTGCTCCTGACAGGAAGTCTGCATGGACTGAACACCCTCGCTGCCTGTGCCATTCCCTGTATCCAGCCCAGATTCCCAACACACAGGTGACAATCAGCAGCTGGTGACTTGGTTGCCTGTCCCTATAAGATCCCAACATTAGGTTGCCTACCAGTCTTCAGGAAGCTGTGTAAGAAGAGTTCAGCTAGGGGCCAATGATGGTTCCAGGGGGCAACAAGTCCCATAGTGCCCCCCCTCCCCCATAGGGGAAGCCATGGGGGTGACCAGAGCAATTTCTCTCAGCCAGCCCCACACAGAACACAGTGCCCCCACTCTAGATACACAGAGAGGCTCTCTGGCCATATGTACATGCACCAGAGCACGTGCCCGACCAGGCATCCTGGCCTCCTCCCCAGCTGAGTCATCCTGGACCATCCATCCATCCAACATGGATGGAGGCCCTTCTAGCTGCTAGGCCAAGTATGAGCAATGTGTGCATGGCTGTATGCATGCACACACCCACATATATGTACACACCATCACAGGGAAAATGCCAATGCCCACTCTGCAGGTGTGGACACTGAGACTCAGGCTACTTGAGGAGCCCATGCCATGTCACTGACTACTTAAGGTGGGGCTAGGATTTGAATGTGGTCACTCACCCAGGCCCTGTTGCTTGGCAGGCACCCATGGCTTTTCCTGCCCTGGCCAGGGGGCTGTGAGACCTTCCCCGGGCAGTGCCGGGCCCAATGTCTCAGAAAATTCTTGGTAACTCTATGGGGATTAGGAAGGATGCTCTTGGGAGGCATGAGGGACGCCGGTTCCTGGTCTCTCTATGCTCCCCTAATGTTCCACATGAGGGGACATGGGCCTGAGCTGTCACCTTCCATTTCTAGGATGCACATGCATGAAACCAGATCCCCAACAATGACCGTGGAAATGAGAGCGCCAGAAGGATCAGGCCTTCTGATCTAGGTATAGCACTGTTAATAGCAATGAGCACACACACACACACACACACACACACACACACACACACACCGCACAGCCTCCTCCCTCGGGGCTGCTGGGAAATGCCACTGACAGGAGCCTCTTTCACAGCCACATTGTGCATTCACCCTGGGGGCCATGATGTATTTCTTCCCTTCTCTTCTTCAAAAGGGTGGCCATGGAGATCCCGGCTGCTGGTTTCCCTGTACCCTTTCTTGACAAGAGGAAAGGTGGCCTTTCCTAAATGAGGGGAGAATTTTGATTGTGTCTCCATCTCCAAAATCTGATTCCTGGTGCCATCTTTAGCTGCACCACATCCCTTTCTCAGAAGACCCCCTCCTACTTCCCAGCCCAGTGTCTCCTGGGTCCTTACATGGCACAGGGAACCACCACTGTTCTCACTGTCTCTTGTCTAAGTCAGCAAGACCCCTTCCCAATCTGCTCCCACCCCCACAAACACCTACATCTGGTTAGGCCTGCTTATATGTGAGCTGAATGCAAGACGAATAAATACATAAATATATGTATGAATACATGAAGGAATACATGAAGGAGTGAATGCTCCCTGAGCGTCCTGGGCATCAAGACTGGTGGCTAATCCTATTCAGCAGAGCCAATGCCAGCTGCACGCAGAATTTCTTATCAGAGAGGAAGAGCCATCGCCAGGCCCCTGGACCCTGCACAGCAACCTCACTGCAGAACATGGCAGGCACCAGTTCCTGCCTGGCCCCACCCAGGATCCAGCATCACCCATCTTGGCCCTACAGAGCCTGCCTGAGCACCTCCACCCCCGAAGCAGCGGACAGCGCTGCTTACCTTCTGCAGAGACGCACCTGCAATGCACCAGGGTCTTGAGAGAAGGAGCCTGAGCCTCATTCCACAGAAGCCCAGGCAGCGAGAGAACGCGCCCGCGACAAGCCTCTGCGAGATGCTGCTGCATAATCAGCAGAGAAAG